ATTGTGGCACAAACGAACTAGCCCTTCTATTCACAGGCTTGGATCCCCAATTCTGAGTTTTTTTCTAATGGAAGTGTGGGATGTTCATGGCCTCATCGATTTTTCTATTTCAAATAGTGAACAAAAGATTAATCTAACAGGCTGGAATTGGGCCTGGGTAGCCATTTTAAAATATATAGAAACTAAATGATTTTCGTAACGATTTTCTACTGATGCAGAACACTGTATTGAACAAGTCTGATAGTGTTTTCTACACTGCTGTTCTTTGAATCTACAGCACGACCGCTTTAGTCCGATTCCTGAACGCATGACTCTTAACCGGTTCTTTTAGTCGTTCAGAATCATACAGCAAGACCAGTGTAGTTCGATTGCATAAAGAATGACTCTTATGAGCCGGCTCTTTTTAGTGAATCAAAAACATCAAGATATAGCCCGAATACCGAACGAATGACTCTTATGAGTCGGTTCTTTTTAGTGAATCAAATACATGTAGACTGAACAATGTAATCCGAGCCTGAACTAATGACTCTTATGAAACTCTATTATACTTTTGTACCAGTCGGAGCAGTTACTGAACCAAGCTGACACTTGTCTGAACCGCAAAAATGACTTTTGTCATATTCGAGTCGAAATGAACCAAGAACTGTCCCTGTGTTATGTTGCACTTAAGGCTCGTGAGACTTAAACTGATTGAATTCCATGAGATGAGCACTTTAAGGGGCACATTATAAGTCAGTAGGCCTATTTTATGAAAATAAATGAATGCTTAATGAAATAGGTCACCACATTTTTGTTAAAACACTTTCACTTATATAAATGGGACCAATTATTAGACTGCATTTAAGCCGCCTCTCAAAAGTCGTCAAGTCAATCTAAACACATCTTTTGGAAGAATTTTGAATTCAGTTTATTTATCTCATGATCTCATGATTTGCTAATAGATTGTTGAGGGCAGTAAATGCAACGCGAATCGCAGTTTCTCCCGAAATATTAAGAGTACTAGAGTACTAAAAGGATCATTAATGGAACCGTTACGGAACCCATTACGCGCAATCGAATTCGCAACCAAAATCGTTCAATTCTCCTTCCTACAGGCCTGGGACATGGGTATCTTTTTTGTCTTTGCTCGCTCACATGGATCTTTCATTATGTCCCGTTCGCATAGTGATACGATGCTCTTTGTGCGCCTCACCGTTCGCAGATACTGATGGGGAAATTTCAGGCGAGACTTGGCAAACACCGGGCGCAAAGTACCAATTTGATTTCACATCACAGCTGCGCGAGCCGGAGATGCTGGCATTTCACCCTCTTATCAGTTTAATTACTGTTGCCATGGCAGCGTAGTGCACGGAAAAGGCCAATAAGATTTGCAGCTTGCAAAACGGCTAAATTAAACCGTTAACGTGTTAGAAACGGTGATACGCGACGGCACATCATATTAAACGTTATTCACAATTGTCTAAGCAAACCACGACAATTCACACGGGGGAAATGAGGAAAACGCGTCGCTTCGGTAAAATGAGGCTGTATGAGGTTCGACAAAACTGCCGCTATACGCATAGAAACATCCCAACTACTCAGCCACACATTTAGACACATCACACTCGCGTTGATAGGATGCAAAGCGCAGCTCTTACCGAAACTTTTCTCCCTTTTCTGCATTGGTTGACCCGCGTCGGCTCCCAGAAACACCATGCAACAAGACGAGGCGCGAGCCAAAGATGCGCGTGAAGTGAGCAGCTGTACGCGCGCGAGGGTGCTTCGCAAAGCGCAGCTCTTACCGAAACTTTTCTCCCTTTTCTGCATTGGTTGACCCGCGTCGGCTCCCAGAAACACCATGCAACAAGACGAGGCGCGAGCCAAAGATGCGCGTGAAGTGAGCAGCTGTACGCGCGCGAGGGTGCTTCGCTTTTGTTACAAGTAACAATCCGCCAGAAAAGAGCGAACACGAATCAACAAAACACTGGAGGGAGAAAGAAGGAACGAGCGAGCCGCTATCGCTCAGCGCCACACGCTGACTCCAGACTCCGTTTGTCACAACAGTGCTCGACTATGAAATTAGATCGACCAGCAGCCGTGGCGAGGCAAGTGGCGGCGAACAAATGACAGCGGATGGCCAAGGCATATGCTTTACCCCTTCGCGCGCGCCGTAATCTTATAATCCTATCGTGCCTCTTGCTATTCGCCTATTTCAGTGCGCGTACAGTAAGAGGCACCAAGTTGGATGTATACAAAAGACAACTTACAGGAACTCGCATATACTCAAACGCAATCATATTTTGTCAAGCATTTACGAACTACTTCTGATGCATGGCGTATTTTTAGAATATAAACACGAATGCTATGTTACCAACACCTTTTACAGTCTCTTTCAAGCTTAAAAACGGCACTTCATTCCCGGAATTAAACCTTGTTTTTAATTGCACAAACTTTAATGTAATTAAAGTGTGTTTATTATCATTCTCATGCATAGTACTACACATGCACATCCACATGTATTATATATGTTGCTGTCTTACTGTGATAATACGGTCTAGCTATTGTTTGTAATTTATATGCACATAGCTTGAATGTTCGTTATGCGTTGCAATGTAGTTTCCTAAAGAAACATCATTCCGTTTTTGTCCATTGCTCTGCTGTGTGCAAAAAAATGACAACACACCTGACTCCGCAGGATCATTTTATCTGAAATCATTTGAATCACATGCATAAATGATCCGATCCATTTACGTGAGGCACACAAGCCTGAATTTTGTATTTGACATCAGCAAACTCACGCAGTTAGTCCAAAAGAACTGGAGCAAGTCCGTTCGGAAAAGACTATTAAAGCACAACTCACTCACCTTCTTGACCAAGTTATGCAGAAGGTTAACTTAGGATAGTGCACCGACTCCAACTCAATATTCCTCGGAGCAAAAGTTCACGAATCTGACATTGCACCGCGGATAAAAGTGATCTTCAGGTTGAAAATAATGAGGTCCACATGGATCATCTACGAGTAGTAGTTCGCACCAAAAGCTACAGGTGTTCTCGCGCGAGCCGTCATGTATTGAGTATTCTGAGAAAGCTCACAACAACTTGGCCATCAGTGAGTGAGGAACGAGGAATAGTGAAGCCTAGCTTTATTATCTTCAACCCCAATCCCTCACCAGTGAGACATTACACGAGGAGGAAAAGGTCATTCGGTTATTACCGACAGCCGGAGTAACGGAGCACGTGCTCGCTAACACAAACTTAATGCTCACCTCTCTGAGACGCGCGCGCAAACATGCTATGAGCTCTGTACTACACGTTTACACTCGCTCTCTCTCTCTCTCTTTGTTTTAGCAACTAGGCAACAACTTCGTGGTGATACATAGTGTTTTATAGCAGAACCGGTCTGATTCATAAAACACATACATTTATTTATGCATATGTCTGTCATTTTAACAACAGGTGTTTGTGCACGTGCATCTGTTTGAATCGTAATTATATTAGTACTTCTGAATGCAGGCAAATACACTCTGAAAGATACAGATTCCAATTAGAACAATCCTGGTGCCTTATATAAGAACCTTAAGTTTCACAAATAACTTTTTATCTTGTTTATTTATGAAGCTATCTAATGACGCTTTAAAAGAGCCAGAAGCCAGTATGCTGATATGAAGAAATGTAATATAAAAAACTTTTTAATCTCCCCCAAAAAAAGCATATTAAAGACTTAAGAATCCTATATAACAAAAATGGCAAAAAGGCTCTTTGCTGATCATAAGGTGCTGCAATAAATCACTAAGGAACATTTAATTTTAAGGGTGTAAGAAAACGCAGACTACATTACAGTATATGATTAAGTAGCTACTGCACCTGTGAGCACATCAGGTGCACATCAGTTTTTAAATCGAGGAATATTTTGTTCTCATATTAAATCAACACCTAATTCATTCAGTATTTAAGTGATTAATTTAGTAATACTTCATAGACTATGTTGGTTCAGACCAAATTGATCAGAGCAGCCTTAGCTGACTTAAAAAGCATTGATATAATCTAAAACAGTGTTTCCTATGAATTTGGCTCAATCAGCAAACCATAAATGTGTTTCTTTTTAACTCATATTACACTGGATATCATTTAGCATTAACTGTATTTTTAGTCACTTAAAAACAATAATGTAGGTGTAAGATAAACTCACCAAGTAGTGTACTTTATGTACACATTACATACTATTTTGTTTTATACCTAAGTCTTTCCAGGCAATCCCTGAAACCTTTTAAGTGGCTCTGGTGTCCGTGCACCTCTAGTAGTGAATCACTGATCTAAGTTACTTAAGAGGCTAATTATTTTAGGCTTCAACGTGCTGATCATTCACAGAAAGTGAAAACATAACAATAAAGAGAAGAGCTGTAAAAAGCATGTCTCGCCGACCGTGTCATCTGTAATCACACATTTAAAAATACCCCTTTTATGTAAAAAAAAACACAAAAATTATGACTTTTGCATAAACCTACAGTAGCAAAATCAAAATCCATGAACATCCAGACAAAAATTGTAACTGTGCAATCCCTGAAACCTTTTAAGTGGCTCTGGTGTCCGTGCACCTCTAGTAGTGAATCACTGATCTAAGTTACTTAAGAGGCTAATTATTTTAGGCTTCAACGTGCTGATCATTCACAGAAAGTGAAAACATAACAATAAAGAGAAGAGCTGTAAAAAGCATGTCTCGCCGACCGTGTCATCTGTAATCACACATTTAAAAATACCCCTTTTATGTAAAAAAAACACAAAAATTATGACTTTTGCATAAACCTACAGTAGCAAAATCAAAATCCATGAACATCCAGACAAAAATTGTAACTGTGCATATATGTGTGTGTGTGTGTGTGTGTGAGAGAGTAATACATTTAACTGTTTTCAGTGGTTTGTTTTCAGTCTGTGTTTCTAAAGCTATTCCTCGCCCACTGGTTACACCTGTTCACTCTAATTAGCACTGCTTGATGCCCATGTTGCTGAGGTAGGTCTTCAGTGCCACCTACCCTTCCTCCCCACACACAGAGAGAGAAAAGGAAACATAATCAAACACTCACTGTAGAGTTTATTTTCTGTCATGGCCCAAAAGTAGTCATTTATCGTCAGCCCAGTTTGGAAGTGACTAAACCGAGAATGTGGAGACGGAGAACTGATGGTAACAAAGTTGGTAAGATTGTGGCCCCATGCCAATCATTCTCTGCCTAAAATACAGCAGTAATGAGATGGGTCATAAAATGCTTTTCGCTTCCATTATGAGTGATGAGATGCATTAAAGCTGACAGGGTATTACCTGCCAGTAATTAGGTTTTGTCATGGATTGAATTATTTCAAAGCGGGCTATCTTGGCAATCATGTAATTTTCGGGGGAGATGCTTTAAGCTGAGTGAAAAGGAGCGGGAGAGAGCGAGGGTAGGGGACGCTGTAACCCCTTCTTCTTTCTCTATCCTCCCACCACCACTTCATCTGGCGCATTATCACGTCAATTATTCACCGAAGATATGGGAATTATTGGGGGTGATGAGCTAGAGAGTGCCATCATCAGACTGTGCAGCGCGAGGTGAAGTCAGCCGCCCGTCACGTTGCGTGACGCTCGCGCGAATCAGTCCAGCATGCAGCCCGCGTGGCGGGAAGCGCGCGCAGTCTTGACGAACGGACGTCGTTAAAATGAAGAGCTGCTTATTATTTCGCCTCTCTCTCTCTCACACACACTCACACACACACACACACCCTCACACAAGATGGTAACAAAGTTGGTAAGATTGTGGCCCCATGCCAATCATTCTCTGCCTAAAATACAGCAGTAATGAGATGGGTCATAAAATGCTTTTCGCTTCCATTATGAGTGATGAGATGCATTAAAGCTGACAGGGTATTACCTGCCAGTAATTAGGTTTTGTCATGGATTGAATTATTTCAAAGCGGGCTATCTTGGCAATCATGTAATTTTCGGGGGAGATGCTTTAAGCTGAGTGAAAAGGAGCGGGAGAGAGCGAGGGTAGGGGACGCTGTAACCCCTTCTTCTTTCTCTATCCTCCCACCACCACTTCATCTGGCGCATTATCACGTCAATTATTCACCGAAGATATGGGAATTATTGGGGGTGATGAGCTAGAGAGTGCCATCATCAGACTGTGCAGCGCGAGGTGAAGTCAGCCGCCCGTCACGTTGCGTGACGCTCGCGCGAATCAGTCCAGCATGCAGCCCGCGTGGCGGGAAGCGCGCGCAGTCTTGACGAACGGACGTCGTTAAAATGAAGAGCTGCTTATTATTTCGCCTCTCTCTCTCTCACACACACTCACACACACACACACACCCTCACACAATCTCTCTCTCTCTCTCTCTCTCTCTCTCTCTCTTTCACACACAGACTTGCGATGTAACGTCAGCAAAGAGAGGGATAACCGACAGACGAGTCGACCACCCCACTTCATCCTAGCGAAAGGAATGCAGGTTCGTTGTTGTGGTAGAAATGAAAGCGGGAGTTTAATTGCCTGGCTTCACAAGGGGATACATCTTTTTTGGAGAGGATTGGAGTAAAAAAATATATTTCCTGGTACTCTTACCCTGGTTTAAGCCTCCTTTGAGCATCTCCAGCGACCATTCATTTCAGGGAAGCTTCAACTTAATCCCAGTTTTATACCGCTGCTAGTAACGTACAGAGAATCTAATGCTCTCTGGCACCCACCACAGTCACTCACATTGTAACAACCTACTCTAACTCTTCCCTTCCTTATTTAGGAGAGAAAACGTCAAAGTAGTTGGCAATTATCCCAAGATCCTTTATCCTAACAACCTTAATTAGAACAAAAGATCGTCACCAATTAGTCCCGGTTTAGGGTCAAATTAAAACACTGCCTGAACAATCGTTTCCAAGCTTCTTAATGAGGCTGCAGATCAGAATATGTTTGAGGAGGGGGGGAAAATCTGATTGAAAGATACTGTACCGAGGAAAAGTTGCCGATTAAGATGAGATGGTAGCTCAATTATAGCCGGTTCTCTTGTCAAGTTCCAGGCGAGCGGGTTAAAAACACGCAGCCCGCCTCGGTGCAACTCCTCCTCGCTCCTGCTCTAAAAAGATTCCCCTCCTTCTCCCCACGACGGCTGTTTCTTCGTTCGCGGTCTTGTTGCCTCCCTGGCAGCAAAGCAAAACAGACCTGAGCCAGCCCGCACGTCTCCTCGCCTATTTAAGCACCTTCACCAGGTCCCTAGTTAGCAGCACACTCCAGCTCATCCAAGAAGCTGACAAGCACCGTTAGGGAAGGCAGCGCATGTTGCTCTAATGGACCTCATTAAGTTCTACTTACAGATGTTCTCTTAACATAATTGATCTGCAGCGAGTTGAGAGGACGGCAACCTATTCCCTAGCCCCCAATTATGGCCCAGTAATTAGATCCCCAACCTCCAGTTCTCCACATTCACCCTTCTAACATTCCGAAATATCAAAGTATCTCTTTCTCTCAAAGCAAACCCTCCTGTCTCCCCCACCACCTAACCTTCGTGTCTCCACCTCCTTTGCTCCCTCCCCTCCCTAAGACTCCATTCCTCTGACAGTATTGACAGTCAGATCTGCTAACCTTTGTAGTGAAGCCAGACTTAGTAGTGCACTCACTCCAATTGACAGAGCTCAGTCTAGCTTTTTCCCTCTAGTTTTTTGCACTCTCTCTCTGGTTCTCCTTTTCTCTCCCTGCTGAAATACCCAGGGAAAGAGTGAAGGATAGAGTGTGAGACACATATGGAGGGGGGAGATAGATGGATAAAAACAAGTTTGCACTTTTTGATAAAAGGTTGTAATGATAATATCTGTCAGGGGAGGATCTCTTTTTTTTTGCACAATGCCTTTTTATCTTTAATAATTCCTCTGATGGTGAACATGAGTGCAGGAGGGAGAGGCAGGTGGTGGTGTGAACGGTGAGCAGAGATGGTGCAGCATTTATAATGCCATTGAGAGCCACTCCCTCCACCCACTTAATTATCCACCGTGCTAAAACACTGTCACTTTAGGGAAATGTGAATGTCACACTTATGCACTTAAAAGACAAGATGATTTCATCACACAGGGAGAATTAAGAGGAAGCCGGTGTGGGCCAATCATTGGCGTACATTTTTCTAGATCATGCACAGTTTGTGGTGTAAACGTGATGCGAACATAGGCAGCGGTGCTTTGCGAGAACACAAAACATGGCAATATGTGATAAGACTCAAGTCTTACAGGTGTTCGATTAAAGTTTAAACGGATCCAGTCTGTACATTTCCTTCCTTAACTTGCACTGTTTCAAGAGCCTATATGATGTATAAGCAATGTGCCTTTTATTAGCTGGAATGATTCAATGCATTCATTGATTATAGGGAGTATTCATTGTGATTTTAGTCTTAAAGTTCAGTCACATTAGCAGGATTTCTGCAAAATTTTGCGGACAAAGTAGGTCCATTGTCAATAGTAGTTACTCAGAGGTCACTTCCAAACCAGATAACTTTATATTGGTAAACACAGCAAATTTGCTTGTTAAAAGTTCAACAAACAGTAACAAAATCGAAATAAAAAAATGATTTTGATCAGATAGAACCAATCAGGGTTTTTATTATGCATCGTCTGCAGTCATTATATCCACCTTTTTCTTGTCGTAAAAATGGGCGCGGCCATTTGTAAATTCTATGGGTCTGGCTTTCGGTCTCATCTGCATCCACTCCGTCCAGCTATTTTTAGCTGAACAAAACAGTTTGTTTTGCTGCTTGATATTGAAAGTTGGTGTGTCTTATCATATTATTTTAATGTATTATCTTAATTATGAACACACTGGTTTGTAGTACAAACAGTTTTACCATTAACTGCATGTTGCTATTCCTCTCGTTATTTACCTATAGCAGCTAATGAACCGGAAGTCTCACCCATAGGCTTACTTCCGCGTTGAAGAAAAAGGTGGATAGCATGTGTTGGTGTCCAGTTTCCTTGCCATGTGGCGTTATATATTTTTCTTTAACTGGCTGTTGGTCCATTGAGATTCATGAGTGTCCTTTTATATTCATCCAGCTCATCTCATCTTTTCCTAACACTTTTCAAAATCCCAAACTAATTTGCCCACACTATACTTCCAAAATCTAGTAAGCACCCCCTGACTCTGGTAGAGTCACACTCAATCTAATACCTCATACTCTCCTACTTCTCTGCTCCCAGTGGACACAAAGGGACACATGTGACTTTGCACTAATGACCACAAGAGCCTCTCCTTAAAGAGACACCCAATAATTGCTTCAGGTAGGTGACCCTCAACTAGGGTCAAGGGATGCCTAGTTTTAATGACAACTTTCGTACTCCCATCCTTGCTCTCTCTGCCCTGTAGACCAATTTTAGTTTTTGGCTGAGAGACAACTAGAGCAAATAATAGAGACTCCTCAGCAAAGTCTGGAGAATCACCTTTAGTAATGGGCCCAAGGGGACACCTTTGAAGTTAAAGAACACCCAGACCACAATATACTGGCCTATCCTATTGTCGCATTGGGAATCAATGGAGATTATTTAATTCAACCAGCAATTAATTTGTTAAGGCCGGTCTGAGAGCTAAGTGCAACTTAACTCCATTGCAGAAGTAGGGCGTTCCTTGACTGCCTGAAGGCTGGTTGTAAGTAGGTAGGTCTGCAGTAAGATTAGATCATTTTAATGTGCGACTACCTTTCACATTCAGGATGATTTTATGGATGTTGAAATTCTATTGCTCATGTCTACCTTTCTGATATGTAATGTTTGTATTTTAATAGTCATTATGTTTAGAATAAACTGCTGCTTTTTAAAAGGTTGCATTCATTTTGAAGACAAAATAGACCATTAAATTAATTAGACCATTAACTTTTTTTTGCATTCCAATGCACTGGATATTTATTAAATTATTATATATATATATATATATATATATATATATACATATATATATACATATATATATATATATA